GTGTTAAAACTATATATATTTTTGTGCTGATAAAAGTGGTCTGTTGACTGACCTTTGTATTTGTTCAAATAATTGTTATGGGCAGGTTACAATATAAAAATGTTTGTCATAAGCATGTCTTGTGATTATTTGACAGGAGTTTCACTTTTAAACTGTAAGTGTATTTAATTTAGTTATGTTAGTTATGATACTTTAGTTATGATGTAAACACAATAAAAATTAAACCAATATTTAGATTAGAATAATTATCATTTTGATCCATACATTAGTAATATCTGACTGGGCCTCGTGCCATTTTATGATCAATAAACTGGGCCCCGAGGTCAAAAAGGTTAAGAACACCTGTACTAACCTGTCTCTAGACTTTATTCCCATCAAAAACCTACARAGGGAGATGAAACTCAGTTTCTAAGGAACAGCCTCAAAATCTTAATGATTGAGAGATGATCTGCAGAGAGGAGTGGACCAAACTTACTCCTGATATGTGTGAAAACCTCATCATCAACTACAGAACGTCTGACTGCTGTTCTCTGGTCTCATTTCTCTCTGCAGAATACATTTATATAATTTATACAATGTGATTTTCTGTTTTTTATAGATAGAATATATATTTTATATTCTCTTTCTCTCTCAGTTTTAAAATGAACCTGCCCTTAAAATTATGTTCATCTTTGTAAGTGGGCAAACTTATAAAATCAACAAGGGATCAAATACTTATTTCCTCAACTGTAGGTTGAGTCAAACTCTTGAAGCAGACACGTTTTGATTCTGGTTCTGCTGCGAGTTACACCCTGTTAAAACAATATTTTTCTCCTCCAGTCACCTGGCTTCTTGAACAGGAAGTAAAACTGACTCAAAGGGAAGATTTGCTGTCTATTGTGACATGTTGTTTTGTGGTTGGTATAACAATCCTGTAAGATCAGGTGACATACGTATGCAGCTGATTCATGAATCCACGGCCTGCTGTGTCTTATGTTAGGAGGCACTACCACCGTAGGTGAGGTCAGTCCTGGTAGGATAGATCATTTATATCATGAAGTAATTACTTACAATTCCATAGTACTGATTTTCAGCCTGGTCAGAACAAAATGTGAATCTTTGTACTGTAAATACTGTTTGTTCTTCGTAAAACAAGTGCTTCAATACAGAACCTTTCCATGAAGTTTTCATGTCTCTTAGACTGGTAAAACCAAGCCCTTGTTCTYGGCTTTGCTTTGCACAGAGGGTCTGAGAAAAGACTGCTTGCTGGAGGCGTGGCCTCTGTTGAAGTTTAAAACGACTGGATTTCATTTTACCTAATCGCTAGCGTTTGACCGGGACGTACAGCGGGTAAAATAAGTATTGAACACGTCAACATTTTTCTCAGTAAATATATTACTAGAGGTGCTAATGACATGAAATTTTCACCAGATG